TACATTGCTTTGGTGACTCAACCGTGCTATAGCCCTGTCCCCCACATCTTTGCCTCTTGCATTGAACCAATATATTTAGTTGACTTGATAGTCTCTTCATTTTTTCTCAGCAATTAAAAATAGTAAAAGCATGATCTATGTTGAATTATTTTTTCCATAACAATCAATCTTGCAATAAAATCAGTATTATTTACTGATGGAATTTTAATTATTTTTAATTGTTTTCCCTTTACATACCTTTTATGTATACTCTCACAGTCTTTCCTTACTTTTTATGAAAAGAAACTAGCCTTTAGCAAGGGTTCTTTGGGGCCCAGGATTTTGGAGCAAGGTGCCTTCTTTTCTTCTGTTGCATCTAATCATTTCAATCGGCCTGTGAGGTAGGATTTACTATCAAAGAGGTTAAATAACACTACCAGAGTCACCCAGGTTATAAGGAGCTTGAACTTGTGCTTTAAAAAAACTTTTTATTTTGAATTAGGTGAAGATTTATAAGGCAGATCATAGTTTTGCATTTAGTAATCTATCCACATTCTGATTCAACTCAGCATTGCAATCCCCTCCAGGTACCATCACTTATTCTATTTCCTTCCTGTGTTTTCTAATTCCAGTCCCCTTTCTTTCCTAACCCTCTAAACTTTTTCCTTGGATAAATACTGTCCTTTTGGTCTTAAATGGATGATTATTCAACATCAAGGGTGAGTTCAGTGTTAGACATCAAGGGTGACTAAGAACCACAGTCTTGGGGATTTCACCAGTCGCCATCCAACCATTAATCCTGTTCTTTTTATGATTTTGAGTGGTGTTACTTGTTTTCTACCCACACTACCCAAGACCCTCTACTATGATCCTTTTCAGAGCGTTGGTAGTGTTATTCAGGTACCATCTAGTTTTTTCTGGTCTCAAAAGCTTATGCTTTAAAATATATTTTTCTTAAATTATAATTTATAATAAATATACCCTTTCCCCCCTAATCTACTTAGCTTTTATCAGGTTCAAGATTAGGACAATTTTCTTGACACCATATTCTTACTTATTCAGCTGTGGTAGCTGCCTTCAATTTCTGTTCTTCTAAGTTAATATTCACTTATTTCTTATCTTCATTTCATGTGACTTCCTCTTACCTGGATTATATTTAGAAAGTACACGTGTGTAGCTTCTATAAAAGAATTTAAGACTTTCTTTGGGAGAATGAAGAGTAACACTGCTATATGTATGTGTTCATTTGTTGGGACGTATACAAAAGAAAGGCCATAGTCCCTGTCCTCCATGATGAGGCTTACCTGTAAGCAGCCAATTCCATCCCAGTGGGATCCAAGTTCTAGTGGGAAGAAGAATAAATTTCTGGGGGAACATGGAGCAAGGAGCCTTCTTTCTGAGATTCTGAGATAAAAATGGGATCTAATGACACAAAAAAAGGCTTCAAGAAGTACATGTAAAAGTTCCATTTTCATTTAAATCCATTTTCCCACAAACTTTTTCAACCACTTTTACAGTTTCAGGGACCACTCCTCACCTCAACGACCCCCTGTCTGACCCTAAGCCCACACTCACCTTCTCAGTGCCCACCTTCTTATCTTGCTTGAGGTGGGCCCACGAGTCCAGCGACTCTTTAGACTGAGTCCCCAGCAGCGCCTGCATCATAAAGTCTGCAGAAATGCATACCCTCCGCAGGGTGGGGCACTCCCCCCCCCCCCCCCTAATCCATCCTGTTTTATTTTTTAAAAAAAAGACGAACAAAAACAAATCAGAGATATTGGATCCAGCTGTTTTCCATGAAACACCACTGAGACACACAAGACAAGGCCCCGTCCATCCGTCCTTCTACCCAGTGTAACAGACAGGCAGGCCAGGAACAGGGCGGAACCCGTCCGTCCTTCCACCCAGTGGAACAGACAGGCAGGCCAGGCACAGAGCCAAGGGCCACTGGGCGGCAGCCACACGCGGACTGGCGGGACATAGTGGCTCAGGCGAGGGATGGGTGGGGCACTTAAACTTGCTGTGAAGGCCATAGATCTTCTGGGTCAGATCGGCGATCTAGGGGTCAGAGGGGAGGTAGAGTCCCCTTCCCCTGGCTCCTCTGAACCCCATCCTTCCACTTTATCCTGCCTCCCAGCATGCAGGGCTCATCAAGACTTTCCCCAGCTCAGGCTCTACCACCTTCAGGACAAAGTCTGAACTCCTTTTTCTGGGACTCAAACCCTCCCCGATTGTCCCAGCCTCATCTCTTCACAGCAGAAGGCATATCTCCGTTCAGCTTCACACAGCTTTCATTTCCTGGGTCTGCCCCATAGCTTTTAAAATAAGACAGGCATCTCCTAGATTTTGCATTCACTGTTCTCTCTTGCCTGGGATAACCTTTCCTGGTTACATTACACTGGTTCTTCTGCCTTCTCCCCGCCAGGCTCATAGCATAGTCCCGAGTCTCCTAGGAGCCACAATCAAAAGCCACTAGAAGGGGTCAGGCTGGGACCACAGCCCCAGACATGTCACTGGACCCTGTTGGTGCTGGTGGTTGTGGATGTCATTGAGTTGACTTTTGGTTTACATTAGGTCTCTAGATTAGGAACGGAGGGGGATGTCTCCCCAATGCCTGTGTAGGGCCATAACAGAGGGGCTAGGGAGATCAGGCACATTAATAGGACACCTATGGGAAAATCTAAAACTGGGCACTTGCAGACTAGGACCCCACCCCCTAAGCACAGGTGAAACCAAACCTACCCACAACCTATACATGACACAGGTAATCAGCTCTGCCTTGAGGGGAGAGAAAAGACAATTCTGACCTTGGAGAAAGGATAAGCACAGGCCTTGCTCAGCTACAGGGTTATCAAGTCTTTACTGGGGTGACTAATACTGCTCTAAAAGTATTAAGAACAGACATGTGCTTCTATTAATGGGCTGTGTTGGCCATTATTCACATTTTCTTGTTTTGACTCATTATGTGTGAATAATCTTTTGTGTTTGGTTTTGATTCTCTGCCTTTCCTAGAGCCTACCTCCAAATTGTTTCACAAAGAAGGGAGGATTCAAGGTGACTATGGTGAGGTGACATAGAAAGGAATAAAGAAAGTTCTTGAAGATGGGGAATCTACAAGAAAGAGCAGCCTCCTCCTAATCTGTGATCTCAGGGTATAAGGAAAGATGGAAGAAAGTACCTTCAAGTTGAAGTGAATGAGCATCAGATCCTATGCAAGCTGAAAATGCTAAAATTCCTTTGGTAATGGTCACTTAAGAGTGAATGGGAAAAGAAAGAGAATTGCTAGAGGAGGAGGTCAAACTCATAGCAAATGCTGTATTGTGGACCAAGGCTAAACAGAGATGGAAAGGGAATACATTTCGGTAGAAATATCATAGGCTAAAGAGGGAGTGCGTAGATGAATGCTTAAAAGTTCCTACTCAGTTAGTCAAATTAGCCCAATAACCCTCTCTCAACAGTGTTTTACAAAATTTGTACCAGGGACTAATCAATGATAATATTAAGAAGATATTGCTTGACAGAGTGGATGTATATATGGATTGTGATAAGAGTTGTACGAGCCCCCAATAAAATGATTTACAAAAATAAGCCCACAGCTACCTTTAAAGGAAATGGATGTTGAAAAAAGCAACAAAAAAAGAAGATATTTATGCTCCTGAGAAATGATCTCCCTACCATAAATTTAAAAGGAGGTCTCTAAAGGGAGTCAAAGGCAGATTAAAAAAAAACCACATAGATCCAGGAATGGGTTTTGGACTTGCACTAAATTCTTGCTCCAATTTAAGAACAATTAGTTCTTACATCATGGCTCTGTTTGATACTCAATAAGGGAACATATATTTGTGCTATAGCAAAGTGTGGTGAAGAAATTAGATGTTGCCCAGCTATCAAATAAAGCCTATTTTTTTCTCCCTTGGAGTGGCTGGTGGTTTTGAACTGTTGATTTTGTAGATCACTACACTACCAGGGCTCCTTTTCTCTACCTAGGAACTCTTTATATATAATAAATATATTGAATAGTTTACTTAAAATTTATGGTTAGGTTTGACATTTTTACTGATAAAATAGATATTTTGTGCCAATTGCTTTTTCTTATGTTTTCTTTTTTTCCCCCCTTAGGTTAATTTCTTTGGGAATGTTTCTCAAAGTAGAATTACTTTGTCAAAGAGTTTGAACTGTCTCATGTGCATGATTGTCCACTTCATCTACATTGTGCCAAAATATGTGATGGCTATATAGTCAGGAGCCCTGGTGGTGTAGTGGTTACACATTGGGCTGCTAAACAAGATCTGTAGTTCAAAATGACCAGCCACTCAATTGAAGAAAAGCTAGGCTTCCAACTTGTATAAAGAGTTATGAACTCGGAAACCCACTGGTGCAATTCTGCTCTATAAGTCACTATGAGTCAGAATCGACTCAGTGGCGCTGAGTTTGGTTTGTTTTTTGGTTTATATAGTCATAAGCCCAGCTTATAGTCATCAGCAGCAGTGTGTTACTCCACTTGTCATTACCATTTTATAAAATTTATTTATTTTGTATTGACTGACATGGAAACTAGAGAGATAGAGGAAAGTTAGAATACTTCTGTGAAAATCAAGGCTTAAATGACAAGAAGTCAATGTAATTTAATAATTTCAAATTTCTCATCAAACATTATTAAACACCTATGTGGTAAGTACATAACGTATTAGTATCTAAGAAACTAAGCTTATTCATATGTAATTTAATACTTTCATCCTATAAGATCTAATTGATTTTGTTAATATAGATAAGTAAGTGGAGGCTTAACAAACTGTATATAATCAAGATCACATAAATATGAAGTTCAAGAGATGAGGTTCAAATATAGACTTTCTGAAAGAATAGCTGCTAGAAGAACCACCAAAGAAAAACCCAGAGTTGTCTACCAAGAAGAAATGAGGGACAAGGGAGGTGATCCTGATAACTCTTATATTAGGTGCTCATGAATATTGTTCCATTATGGTAACCACTAAAATTCCTGGTAATTTTCTTTCCTCCAGGGGACTCTAACAATTGTAACAAAATGCGGCCTCTCGGAGAAAAGCCAACTATCATCCGTCCCCCAGTGAGGCCTCCAGACCCTCCCTGCCGGGCAGCTACTCCCCAGAAGCCAGAACCAAAACCAGATATTATGGCTGGCACTGCAGAGGAAATCCAATCATCTGTGTAAGAAGGATTCTTAACCTAATTATAAAAGGTCCGACCAAGGCTACCAGAAATGCTTTGAGTCCCCACATATGGTGTGAAGGTTGTAAAGTACACAGACCTTGGGGGATCATTCAATTCATAGTTTATGAGAATACTATAAGCCAGCTTTGTTTGGAATGTTCCACTCAACACACAAGAGTGCAAGATTTTGTACCTGCTAGGAGATGTATTTTTCTTAGCTACCCTGATTTGTATTTCTATAGGGTGATGTAGTTATCCTCTGATTTTATGCTCTAGGCTCTGGAAGAATTTTTTCTTTATTCTCTTGTGATTGCTACTGGTTTTCAAAGTAATTTAATGAACATATTTGCTCATTGTACTTGTACCTTGAAGCGTCTAATTATTTATTTATGGTAAGCAAACAGTCTAACTTTCAAAAATCTTCCAAAATAACTCAGTTCTCCAGGGAGCCTCTTACAGGGTAAAAGTTGAACTGACATCCAGCAGGCCGGAAGCTGGCCTCAAGTCAAGGAATTAGAGACAAAGTGACCAGCATGAGGCCATAGTTTTCAGGGACCAGCCTATCTTCACTTGGCCACAATTAGTCTGGCCCGCCTCACCTCATCCAATGACTAGGACCCTGCTCAGTATATTGACTACTGGTACTCCATTTTCTTTTCTCTTATTTTTCACAGTTATAAAATGGGAAAAATAACAAAGCCTTCACAGCTTCAACTAATTGACAAGTATATTTACAAAATACCAAAATTTATACTTTGAAATCAAGGATATACTTTACCTGTACCCCAAAGTAAGACCTGAATAGGTGACATATTTTATCAGTCTGGACCAAAAGAGAAAGATGTCAGCCATGGCCTTAGTGGTGCCTGCCAGTGGGCTCTAGGCCATTTTCCATTTCTCTAGTTAATTTTCTCCACAGACCCAGATCTTTTGCTAGCAAAGACAGGGCCTGGAACTGGTAACTCATCCGGTTCAGAGGCATTGGCCATTGGTTCTCACACCTATTCTAAAGCAACTCATGAGATTTGTTTGTCAACTTGGTTATCTTTTGTTTTCAGGGTGGCTTCCAGAACCAGATTCTTTGAAACAGCTTCTAGGAAAACAGGAAGGTAAGAGAAACAGGTGACAGAAGAGAAAACAAATCCCTTTTTAAATACACAGCTTAAGTTTCCCATTTGCTCTCACTCTCATCATTTCTTTTCTGTTTTTCTTTAGCCCTGGTTATCTCTGGCTCTCTTTGTCTCCTTTATCCATAACTATCTCTCCATTTCTTTCTGTGTCTCATTCTGTGTCTCTGGCTTTGTCTTAATTCTCTCTCTCTCTCTCTCTCTCTCTCTCTCTCTCTCTCTCGCTTTCGCTCTTTCTTTTTCACTTTACCTCTCTACTTGTCTCTTTCATATTCAGTTTCACTCTGTGTCTCTGTGTTTTTCTGTTTCTGTCTGTCTCTTTGTCTGTGTCTTTGCATCTGTTTCTCTCGGTTTCATTCTTTCTCCTTGTGCCCCTTTGTCTTTGCCTTTCACAATCTATATTGTCTCGTTGCCTCTCTGATTCTGTTTCTCCATCTATCTCTCTGCTGATTTCTCTTCCTCCCTCTGTTACACACACACACACACACAATGCATTGCAAAAGGTCTCATTTTTTGTTACTTGCTTCCTTAATTTATTGATTTATTTCTTTTCTTATATTGTAAAAGAGCAGCTGACAGGGATATTTAGAATGCAATACTCTAATACAGCAGTTCTCAACTGGGTCACAAGCCCTTTGGGGGTCAAATAACCCTTTCACAGGGGTTACCCGATTCATAACAGTGGCAAAATTACAGTCATGAAGTAGCAACAAAAATAATTTTATGGTTAGGGGTCACCACAACATGAGGAACTGTATTAAAGGGTCGCAGCATTAGAAAGGTTGAGAACCACTGCTCTAATACATCTTTAGAGTAGACAAGGCTCCCATTTCACAGGGAGCCTAGACTTAGGCAGTGGCTCCCAAACTGGCTGCACATCTAAATCACCTGAGAAACTTTGAGGGAAATACATATACATTTTTAACTTCCATTATATATTTACTAAAACTGAATTTCCAGGAGTTGGGGCTAGGATTATGTTTTCTATTTGTTTGCTTTTGTCTCATCCTTCCTTCCTTCTTTTCTTCTTCTGTACTAGGTTATTTGAAATCAGTTTGAACAAAAGAAACAAAGAGAGAAACTATAATACTCTTAATAAGGTACCCCTTGTGAGAACTGGGAGAAAGATGGGGCTTTCTACTCTCATAAAGAGTTAAAGTCTCAAAAACTCACAGGGACAGTTATACCCTATCTAATAGGGTCACTATGAGTCAGAATTGACTTAATGGCAATGAGTTGGGGTGTGTGTGTATTTGTATGTATGTGTGTGCGTCTGCGTGTGTGTGTGTGTGTGTGTGTGAGAGAGAGAGAGAGAAAGAGAGAGAGAACTACATTGTGGTGGTCCTTCATTACTACTACCCTTCCCTCAGGATAAACTATTTGAGAAATAAATACTAACAAAATGGAGTGAGTTAAACTGGGATAGAATTAAGTAAGGATGTCTATAAGAAATCATTTAACAAGAGGTGGTATCTAAGTTTGAATGATAAGTATATATACACAGAGAAATGTGAGATATTGGTCTGTAGCTTCAGGCAGAAAAACTGAGACATCCAGAAGGGCACCACATAAGAAGCATGAACAAAATTCAATGGACCCTTTAAGGCAGATAAACTTCCAATAGGGTAATTTGATCCCATGTTGACAGTTTTTAAGAGCATAATGCTCAAGATAGACATTTTTACTAGTTAAACTAAACTATCATTTGGTTTAAAGACTTCAGGGAATAGTTTTGCTTTGAGGTTTAAAGATTATTTCAGAGCAGCAGTTTCAGGGGTTCACCCAGACTCTATGGCTCCAGAAATTATGGAGTCCATGAAAATATGAAATTCTCTTCTGTATTTCCCTTCCTTTGACCAGGGTTATTCTATAAAATATTTGATCAAAACAGTCAATAATGGGAGTCCACTCTCGTCTAGTTCTCCTAGTCACATGACAAAGGGGGCAGTTGTTTATAGAGGCAATTAACCCTTTCCCTCTCCTAATCCAGAGTTCCTGTATTTCTCTGTTACTTCAGACAAATAAACACCAATTGTTGTGCCTTGGATGTCATTTGCAAGCTTTTACAACCCCCAAGAACTATGCAAGAAGCACTAAATCAATATGTAATAATGAACTGAAATACCTAATGAAACGATATCCCTAAACTTCCAAGCTTAAGAACCAAATCCCAAGAGGTATTCCTTATCCTCAGATTCTATATTGGTAGAAATCTAGCAAAGACCATCCTAGGTATCTATAGGTCTCTCCTGCTCAACAGCTATAAAAGAAAGTGCCTATTTTGTCTAAACCCATACCTTTTAACTGACCCTTGTATTAGTGTATCCATAAGTTAGTCATTAGTCAACATCTTCCATGTGGGAAATCCCACTTATGGACATTATTGCCAAGATCTTCTCTCATTTCTAATGAAAGTAGTCTGATTGACCTTTTCCCTACACTTTTTTTGCTGCCCACTTGCAACCTGGCTGTTGCCTGATATTGAATGTTATCACTCTCTCATTCATCTCCCTTCTACCATTTTTTAAACTAACAAAAGAAAATGAATATTGACTCTTCACGAAGAAAAGGGAAGGAAGGACATTTTAGGGAGACAGACAAGCAATGCTAGAGAGGCTGAAGTAAGGACTAGTGTTTCACTTTGGCTGCTGAAACATGGAGATAAGAAGAGGGTAATTGTAGCTGGAGGTGAAGTCAGGAAGATGGATTGGAACCAGATCGTGACACACTAAGGCATTTGATATTCTTCTGTATGTTATAGGGAGATAAAATGTTTTAAGCATAGCAATGCATATATAGAGTTGAGTGAGTTCTAGAAAGAGCACTTTAGTAGTGCTGGGAACGATAGATTGGAGAGTTAAGATTAGATTCAGTGCGACTTTTAGGAGGCTAATCATCTTCTTAGGGGTTGACTAGGCCCTAACCTATGGCCTATAGGAATGTAATTGAAAAGCCAGATTAGAGAAGGACTCAGTAAGACTTTGCTAACTAATCAAACATGGGGCATTGGAGAATAATTGAGAGAGAGGAGTCTTAACTTGGGCAATTAAATAAATGATTGAATTATTAATCATAGAGAAACAAGTTTTGTAAAAAGTTGGTAATATTCAATGTTGGCCACAGTGATTTTGATGGCACCATGGCACATCCGAGTCCCTAGATTGAGATCCAATCAGGAACATTAACTTAGATTTAAGGGTAGAAATATTAAGACAGCTGATGTACAGTTCCAGAAGGACCCATTCAAAAATACTACAATATGAGTAGTAGCCCTTTGTGGGGGTCTTCATTATTGAGTGGTGATTGAAATCCTATTTTGAAAGATAATTCAAGGAGTAGATGTGTGAACAGACTCAAAAGAGGAGAAATCCCGAAAACTATGGACATAGCTTGAATGCTCTGCCCTCTTATCCCACCCACCCCCTCCTGTTCCCAGATAAGTCTAATTTAAGACTTATCTAAGCATATCAAGAAGATGGACAAGGCTGATTCAGTCTCCAAGCACAAAGAACTTACCTTTCACTTTGTACTTGCCCTACCTCCTTGCACTTCTAAGCTCCCATATTTCTGGCATGTGAACAATGTCTTCCTTTGGGTGGCTGTGTTCTCTAAAACCTACCAGAGAGAGTCTAATCTATAAGCATGAAATAGTTGCTTTGAAACATCTAAACAGACTCACTTAATTATTTTGTAAATATCTTCTTTAGTTCTGGCCTGAAGTAGTTGCCATACTTTACTTTGCCTTTTCAGTCCTGATTTCAAGATTGTTTGCGAAATGTTTTTCCTCCTTTCCCCACAGTTCTTCTCAAGGCAGACTGTCTGGAGATGAAAGTTGAGGTCACAGGTATGTAGTCTCCACCCCTGATTACAAAACCTTGTTTCCAAAATATTTTTTTATGTAGTCTGACTTTGGGGGAATAGAGAGTGGGAACCATCTAGGTTCAGAGAGTGGGAACTCATTCACCTCATGTCTCCATTCCCTGTATTTATATGACCCTTAAAATCAATGCCTCCGAGCTGTATGGCACCTGGAGGAAGGCTGCCTCCCTGAAGAGTAACTACAACCTCCCCATGCACAAGATGACCAACACAGACCTTAGCAGAATCTTGAAAAGCCCTGAAATTCAAAGAGCCCTCCGAGCACCCCGCAAGAAGATTCATCGCAGAGTCCTGAAGAAGAACCCACTGAAGAACCTGAGAATTATGTTGAAGCTCAATCCATATGCAAAGACCATGCGCAGGAACACCATTCTCCCGCAAGCCCGCAACCACAAGCTCAGGGCGGCTAAGGCGGAAGCAGCATTAGGGGTGAAGTCGGATGAGAAGGGAGTTCCCCGCCAGAAGCCTCTGGTGGGGAAGAAAGGAGGCAAGAAAGCAGCTGTGGCGAAGAAGCTGAAGAAGCCTGTGGCAGGAAAGAAGGCCGCAGCTAGCAAGAAGCCCGCGGCCGAGAAGAAGCCTGCCCCCGAAGACAGGGAGCTGGCTGCATGAACACTTCCATTTTATGCCCTGGGAAGTTGTCTTTTGGACAGCTTATTTTGAATAAAGACCTGCTTGAAACAACAGTGGGGAAAAAAATCAATGCCTCCAATTCTGGGTTTTTATGTTTTTTAGTCTCTCTTTTTCTTTCCTTTACCACCTTTCTCATCCAAACTAGAGTGCATTTTTTACAAATTACCTTTGGATCCAATTTGTTAGAAGTCATACACTATGAAATTTTTGACAAATATGAAGCAAGGAGTTCTGGTGGTGTAATGGTTAAGTATTGGGCTGCTATTCTCAAGGTCATCAGTTTGAAATTACCAGCTGCTCTTAGAGAGAATGACGGGGCTTTCTACTCCTATAAAGAGTTACAGTCTTGGAAACTCCCAGGGGCAGTTCTACCCTGTCCTAGAGATTGCTATGAGTTAGCATTGACTCTATGGTAGTGAGTTTGGTTTGTTATGAAGGAAAGGATTGTGAAGCTCATTTTCCCAATGTATTAAGTGAGCAAGTTGAAACCTTCCAATTCTGATATCCTTTGGGCCAGCAACCTCCCTTTGAGTGTTACAACAGATGTCAAGAGTTCATCTTATTATCTGTAACGAGACTTCGTTTCTATAGATTATACCACCATTTCAGCCTTTTCCATCTGAATGTTCATCTCTAGCCCTTTATATTTATTTAATGCAAAGCAAATGCATTAGTTTATTTGCTCTCTATGACATGACAAATGTAGGAGAATAACATATATTTCAACTCAACAAAGGATCAGGGCTTCAGAGGGAATTAAGTGCGTTGCTAAGATGACAGGAGTCATGTAGATCAGACTTTTTGGGTAATGGGGATTACCCAAGGTCAAAGACATAACGTCTCATCACTTTTTCATGGGATCTGAGTTATGAGGGCCATGACCTTCCTAGCTAACCTTGTGCTCAAAAGATTATCTGTTATTTGTAGGATTGGCTACCAAGATATATCCTGGTGTTCAGTAGTTGTTAAATGCTTTACCAGTCCTAGCTAATTTACCACTCTTCTTTTCTTTTTAGGTTTTAAAAGCCTTGGCATGAAGGGACACTTTCCAGCTCCTGAAACTCTTTAAGCCCTTGTGTGCTGAGCAATTTTGCCTTGAAGAGCAACTCCTTACTGACCCTGCACTTGCAGGCTCTGAGAGGCCAGAAAAAGGGGACACCTGTCCTGAATATATGTTTATTTTTCTTTTGCAATCTGTCTTTATCCCCTCAAAAGGTCTCTCTTGAATCCTATGAAGAGAGATCTTGCTTATTCTCCTGTGAGACAAAATGACTGAACTCCTTCAAGTCAAATTGCAGAAACCAAGATATTCACTGGCTGAACAGAAGAGGGGAGCCCAGATTTCAGCTCCTGTTTAAGTTCTCTTCCTCAAAGCACATTGAAATCAGAAAGATTTGTGACTAAATACAGGTCTTAAAGGTCTTATTCTTAATTAAAGGCCACTTGGAGCCATTGCTTACCTTGTGGGTAGACGAGCTGAACATTGGGGTATTTTAACATGCCTTATTGAGCATATGAACAATGGAATCCAGCTTCAGCTCAGGCACTGCGGTGTGTTTTTAAGAGCCTGTTTGCTCCTGTTTGAAGGCCCACACATTTCCTTCATATGGACATGGTGATGTGGCTTTCCTGCTCTTGCATTTAGCCACTTAAGACAAATCTGCAAAGCATATTTAGCATGTCAAAGCCTCAGTATGTTTCAATTTTCTCCTGACAGCTTTCTTTCCAAGAAATCAAGAAAGAAACAAAAGCTCAAAACATTTATTTTTAAAGGGCAGACTCTATTTTACCTAAAGGAGTCCCACTATTGGATCAAATACTGGAGGGGGAAATTAAGATGGATTGAGGCCAGGCAGCTGTCACTGTTGCTTTAGGTTTTCCCTCTGCAGTCCTCAATCCAGTGTCCATGAATTCAGGAACTCTATGCAAGCCAATGAAATAGTAAGCTGAATTCCATGACAATGTTCTTTTCTGGGGAGATAATCTTACTGAATTCCAAGTGGGCTTGTGAGTTAATAAAGGTTAAAAACCACAGCCCTGAAAATCGAAGGTTCTTTTTATAACCAATTCAGTATTGGGTTAGTAAGTCTTTGCAAAACTTAGTGTAAGCTCTACATTTATAGTTAATGAAACCGATGTACAGGAAGTTAGTGGTCATGCCAAGATAAAGTCCTTGGGTTCCTGTGCACATTTCTTCCCATTGCACCACACTTATATAGTGATGACTTATGAGTGATGACTTTAATGATCATCACTTTGGGGTTTACCCTTATTTTCTGATCCCCACATATTTTCAACCATGTGGAAAAACTGCAGACACAAAGCCTGCCCATACCTTCATTCATCATGTCAATCATTGGAAAGGAATGAAAACAATCCTGTAAAACTGTAGAAGGAAATCTACTGGAGAAAGTGTTAGTGTGTGTGTGTCCTACCCAGATCCATATCCTGTATTCAGTAAATCTAGGTACCTTTCTATCAATGCCCTGTGTGTTAGGCCAGGTTGACTAGAGAAACAAATCCAGTGGCACTTATATATGTGTAAGAAAGAGCTGCATATCAAGGAAACATCCCATCCCAGTCCAATATTAGTCCATATGTCCCTCTTCAGACTCACGCAGTCACAAGCAATGATGCAGAATCCAGGAATATCTTAGGTTGGTGAGTGCAGCGTCACGTGGATCTAATGGCTGTGAACACATCACAGGGCTCTGGCAGGTCTCAAAGTAGCTCACCAGCAGGAAGGTAAAGGCAGAGAAAGAAGGGGAGTTTCCCAGTGTATGAGAAGGCCATGCCCACAAGGAGGCACCATCAGGTTGTGACCTGATTGACAGGTTGAATACCACGTTTATACTCATATATCTTCAAGTTGACATGAAATTATGTAACTACCACACCCTGCTAATGCACTGACTAGTACTGAGGGAGACACATATATATGTTTTTCTATATGGAGGGGGCGTGCTTAAAAAAGCTTGTGGACAAATTGCATTGTCTTTGAATTCCACTTTTTCTTAAATTTTTTTAAACTTTCTCTCTCTCTCTCTCTCTCTCTCTCTCTCTCTCTCTCGTCTGTGTGTGTGTGTGTGTGTGTGTGAGAGAGAGAGAGAGAGAGAGAGAACATGCCCCAAACCAACTCCGAGAAGCCTTTTGAACCGTGTTGTTGAAAGGCAGTAGTCATGCTCAAGACTGAACCCCTAAGATGGTATATTAGTGTTTAGGAACATGTAGGCTAAACATACTTAAAGCCTTGGTGAAGCTGGGAACTGGATATCTTTCTAAATTAAGACATACCCATATGGCCACATTCATTTTTTTTGCTATGCTCAATCTCTATTCCCAAAATTTGAACTCTCAAAAGCCTAAATTACTATGAAATTAGTAGCAAGAACTCAAGTGGTCACCATTCTTCCTTCTGCTTACCCCCAGGTGGAGTCACCGTGAGGCCTACTGGGCTTACCCAGGATGTGCTTGCTGACCTGCCTGCTCTTCCCTATTAGATGACTAATTGAAGCAGGCTGGAGTTCAGATTTTGGTCGTAGAAGCAGTGGTCAATGGGCCTTCAGTACTTTTTATACGTAAAGGCATGATTTGATTCTGGTTTTCTTGAGAGTAAACCATATTTACTGCCATAAATATTGAAGATTTTTAGAATCAGAGAAAGCAACAGCAATCTCAGTGGAAGAGGTGTCTGGGTTACATGCCTGAGGATAAAGAACATAAAGAGCTGGGACCCCAGTCTTGGAAGCTGGAAACAGTGACTGGCTAGCTTTGATTGTACCCTAGGCTAACCTCAAAGAATGAGCTCAAGTTCTTGCCCTTTTTCAAGCTCATATAGTGTGAGGGCTTCTACAGTGAGGCACAGAATTATAAAATGGGACTAATTTGGTCTTGGTGGATAATCATTCAAAAGAGCCTTTTGGGGTGATAGCAAATAAGCAGCAACTACAGGAAATTTTTAGCATACCTTGGCCAGTGGGTATTTCTTTGACTAGAAAATAAATACCTTTAAGAGAATGTAGATCAGTGATACTACTTTTTTATTCTGAAGACATTTTTTAATTGTCATGACTAAGGTATATGTGGGGGGAGGGTGCTTGCATCTAGTTGGTTGTTGTGATGGTACTTATTAGCTGCCATCAAATCAGTTCTAACTCATAGTAACCCTATACACAACAAAATGAAATACTGCCAGCTCCTTCACTATCTTCACTATCATTGCTGTTTACTATCATTGCAACTGCTGTGTCAATCTATCTCATCGAGAGTTTTCCTATTTTTCATTGACCCTCATTACCAAGTATGAGGTCTTCAATATCTTCATTATCATTGCTGTTTACTATCATTGCAACCACTGTCAATCTATCTCATTGAGGGTTTTCCTAGTTTTCATTGACCCTCATTACCAAGTATGATGTCTTTCCAAGGATAATGTATCCAAAGAACATGAGACAGGATCCTCATTTCTAAGGAGTATTCTGACTGTACTTTATTTCCAATACAGTTTAGTTCATTCTTTTGGAAATCTGTGGTATATTTAATATTCGTTGTTCACATCAGAATTCAAATGCATTATTTTTCATTGTCTTCCTTGTCCATTTTCTATCTTTTGCATGTATCAGAGATTATTAAAAAGACATTGGCTTGGGTCAGGTGCACCATAGCCCATAAAATGACATCTTTTAAACACAGTAAAGAGGTCTTGTGCACCAGATTTACACAATGCAATAGGTCATTTGATTTCTTGACCACTCACTGCTTCCATGGGTGTTGATTGTGGATCCAATTAAAATGTAATACTCAACAACTTTAATCTTTTCTGCATTTATCGTGGTATCTGTTGGTCTAATTGTGAGGATTTCCATTTTCTTTACATTGAGCTGCAGTCCATGCTAAAGGTTTCAGTCTTTGATCTTAATCAGCAGATGCTTCAAGTCCTCCTTATATCCACCAAACAAAGTTGTAGCACCTGTATATTTCAGTCTGTTATTGAGTTTTCATCCAATCCTAATGCTGCATTGCTTTTTAAGGTTGCTGGAAACTGTGGTTTTGACACACTGCAAGCCTGAAAACTGGCTTCAGAAACTATTTTAAAAATTGAATAGAGAAACAAGATACTTTGAAGCAGAATTCTTGAAAAGCTCTCATTTTCATGGGGAAATAAAATACTTGATGCCTAGGACATTAACAGAGGGCTATAAAGATTACCTTTGTGGGATATATGTGTATTATAAGATAAAAACGTGATCCTGGAGCCTATTCATGTGACTTTCAATAAAGTAGCAGACTGTTTTTTTCTGAACGGACTCTGCAGTTTTGTCATGGAAACAAAAAATTGAACACATTAGGCATGATGGTACCACCACCACCCACTACTTATGTTGCCTCCTATTTCAGTATACTTTGCATGAAACCCTTGTCCCATTAGTAGCATAATCACCTGGGAACTTGTTGGAAATTCAGATTCTTAGGTCCCGCTCCAGCTCTGTGGAATCAGAATCTGTATTTTAATGAGATTCCCCAAGAGTTTCCTAGACACATTTAAATTTGAGAAGCATTCATCAAAGGTGCTTAAGACGGCAAAGCAGATTAAGAAAGATCAGTGATCTCTTGAGGAAAAAACCATAAAGTGTGGATGATGCCAATCTGGTATGCTGGGTTTGGCTATAAAGTTTATCTCCCCAGCTACCTGCTTCTTAACACTAATTTGCACCATTTGTGCCTTGTATTTTGGTGACACGAATGAAGTTTTTCCAACTTAAAGAACAGTAAATAAGGAAATAAGACTGAAAGTCGATTGGATTTCAAAAGTTTGCATATCAGAGACAGTGGAATGGCAACATGGGACAATGGAAGAGCTCCTTTGAGGAGCCATAGAGGTCCAGAGTGGAGCCCTGGTGACATAGTGGTTATGCATTGGGCTGCTAATTGTAAAGTTCTGTTCCTAGACTGTTGTCCATGGTGGAACTAGAAAGCTCTGGACCCGTGTGGTTTGTTAGTGTTTAGAGATAAGCTGTGCTCATACACACATTCACACACAGCATCGAAGAGTTAAGCCACAAGTTTATTAAAGCATAGAGTCACTTCAAAAGAAATGAAGTGGGTCCCTCTCCTTATGTAAGAAAGACATGTTAAGCATAGATGAGATACACTTCACTCTGGGAGGGAAGTGGGTCCCTTGCGAGGTGAAAAGCAACACCTTAAGCACAATTGAGATACACTTTGCCCTGGGTATGAAGTGGGTTCCCCCTCGTGAATTGAGATGAGGATGTAGTCTAGGGGAATGCTTCTAGTTTTTATATGGCACTTTCAAAGAGGAGGAAGTTGCCACTGTCCAAATGGTTAAGCAAATTTCTGATTAGTTACTGAGTTTGTCTTTGGTTCTCATACATCATTTATTTCATTTTTATCAGGGCTGCTGCTTTGGGTCAACATGTCTCAGAATTGTCTTTGAGTACAATCCTGTTCCAGAGTTTTACTGGGGCCTGGCTTCCAGGTAAAGGTGTATACCAAGTCAGTTTTCACCGAGGCCTTTGTTCATCACATGTTTCACAGTGTCCTCTGTTCATTCCCTTACAAGACAGGGCATCAGTTCCTGTTCTACCCTTGTCACTAACTACAAGGTCCACCATTTAAAACCACCAGCCACTCCATGAGAGAAAGCTGAGGCATTCTACTCCCATTAAGAAGCTACAGTCCTAGAAACCCACAGGGGCAGTTCTGCCCTGCCCTATAGGGTCACTCTGAATTGGAATCAACTCTATAGCTGTGACTTTGAGTTTGGGGGGGTCCACATTAAGCTCTGTCACTGCTTCTCTATAAGGCTGGGCAAGTTCTTCCCCCTCTCTGGGACTCAAACTTTCTGATTTTAAACCAGTTAATTTTTAACTTGATATTCTATTCTTGGGTGTGGGTTTTATCACACCCTATATTGTAATGAAAACATTGACAACTCAGCTGGACACAGTTTATCATCTTCTGTTCATTTGTGAATGGACGTGGGGAGAAGGGACTGAGGCTTTTAAAAGTTCATGGAAAAATTCATTATCTTTTTAATTTTTCTATGAATTTTTGGAAATCCCCTCATGTAAGAAAGGATACTTTGTGGGAGTAAGGATACCAGGAGGGTAGGAGAAAGGTGGTGGGGGGGGAGGGGGAACCGATCAAAATTGGTATGACACATAATCCCCACCCCCAGGGGCATGAGCAACAGAAGCATGAGTGAAGGAAGACAGTGGTTGGTGTAAGATATGAAAACAACAATAATTTATAATTCATCAAGTGGCCACGATGGGGTAGGGAAGAGCTGATACCAAGGAATGAAATAGAAAGTATGTATGGAATGTTATAAGAGATGTAAGAACCCCCTAAAATGATTTAAAAAATAAAATAAAACTGATTGTGGTAATGATTGTTGAAAAAATAAAAGAAAGAAAGGATAGTTTGGAAAGAAATTTGAGCCATAGCAAAGCAGCATTAATGAGAACTGCAAGGAACTGTGAGGGCTATGTTTCAACTAGCTTAAAATTCAAACAAACAAACAAAAAATCTCACTGTGATTGA